TGTTGACTTTTAAAAGGTAAACCATGACAACCCAGAATTATCAAGCATTCATGCAAAATGTGGTTATATGTTTGTTACGGTTTTGCAATACAAGCATTGGTCATTCATGTAAAACATCAAATCATTGCAGCTAAACACAGTATTTCACCTCTCTTGGCAGACCTGGTTACTTAAATACAAATTCACATACTGTCCTTGCCTTTTAGGCATAGGCCTTTAGGCAACTTTTCAACAGAGCAAAGATTCGTTTTGGGATTGACATCTAAGAAGCTTACTTCCTCGCTTTAATCATTAAAACAAAATTGTTTCCTTGGATGTCTTTTATATGCACCGTTTCCAGATCTCCAAACGGCCCCGCTGAGGGCAAAAATATTTAGTTAAGATGTTCAGGTTCATCCCTGGACCAACATTGTATCCACTAAGAAAAAAAGCACTTGCTTGAAAAGGGAATCATAGAGCTTTAGTTAAGGTTGCCACTGCAAAGTTGAACAAATGCCTTCAGAAGATATGTTGATCATCATATAATGAAAATATGTTTTTGGAAGAAGTCATAGGAACAGTGTATCAAGTATTAGGCATGGTGGTGGAAGAATTGTGCTGAGACTTTAACATCCTTCTGCTACTGCCGCACTGTACAAACTAGATAAAGTAATAAACAATGAGAAATAACTCTAAACTACTCAATCTAACATCAGATCACAAGGTTTGTTATTGATTTCAAAAACGTTCATATACTGTTAGTTTTTGCCATTTCAGCTGATACTGGCAGTATTTAGATTACTGTAAAGGGTTCTTATAATTCTATCCTAAATTATGACAGAACTTTGTTGATAGCTACTGCAAATATCCGGATAGTTACAATTTGGCGAAAAGAATTTTAATCCCATTGTATATAGCATACTTAACAATATGTCTGCTTTTAAAATTTGGGTGAATCACAGGAATTCCACAATACATCTGATCTATATTCTATTTTTTAAAAGCAGCTGACAGGAGTTTTTGGGTGCAATTAACTGGGTCTCCTATGATAGAAAACATTTCACTAATCTGACTGTATGATCTATGATCTTCAGATGGCATTGGTTGTGAGTTGCAGCTATAGAACAAAATCTGAATTGATGTATCTTATAATCATTCCACAGACAAATAATAGTTAAGGTGCACATTTTAAAAGCCCTAAATGATTTTGAAATAACCATGAGGAATGTATGTGAACTCTTGGACCAAAATTACAAAAAGAGAAACATTTTTATTATTATAATGAGACTTTATTACCATATATATAATAAAAACCTTCCTCTTAGATTTGAAGAAAATAAGGAGGGCTCATATTTCCTGAGTTTTAGCTTCTCTTCTTTGGCTTCCTCTTATATCCAGAAAGAAATAGAAGAATTTCTTCTTACTTATCCTGCTTCTAATGACCACCCTCGAAGGCAAACCCTTCAATTATAAGGCTTGTCTTTTGTGAAACCAGCTCCCAGTTTCAGTCATGTAGCTTCTGCTTTTCCTTTTGATCAAGCTGAGGGCTGGCTTGAAAGAACACTGCTATAGTTTTACTCCTATATGCGTAGATGCAGGGCATCGGATGCACAAATGATTGCTTGTTCACATTTCCCATTGACCCTTCATGTCCCTGTTTGGTATCATTTATATGGCATTTAAATTGAAGTAGCTAATAGAATCAGTGCTTTCCTGGAATTTTTATCCTCTCAACTTCTAGCCTATTCGTTCAGATGGATTCTCAATACAGAGCCTGGTTATAAAGAAGATTTCTTCTGGTTAGAAAGACTTACTTCTTTCTAAGGATGTGTTACAAAGAGAAAAAAATATAGATCTTCGTATTTTTAATTCTTCATATACACATATGGGCTTTTTTATCACACCCAGAAATTGATTATAAGGAGTGGTATTCGTATAATTTGGCTTAAATTAAATGTGAATATGACTGATATGAATTAAACAGTTTGAATTTAACTGCATTTAAATAGAGCTGTTTTTACAATGTGAACTTGTTGACAAATGTAGCAGAATTATAACAAAATAAATAAAATAAATAAGCAGACTTGTGACAAATATGTTTTCTGTAGAGTGTGAACTTTTTTTTCATCAGACTGTGCTTGTGTGAAAAATAAGCTTTTTTCCATGCTCCTTGTTAAATATACAGTAGATGTATGTCTACAGACATGTCTGTAGACGAGAGGGTACACTCTGCATACTAAATACATAAAATAAATTCTACCAGAAAAGTTTTGACTCAAGACCTTTACCTTCGTCAGAATTTTTAATTCATTTTTTTTAATTCTGTTATATTTATACAGCAACAATCTCAAATCACTGTCCAAAGACAAATCATTCAAATCATACAGACAAGTTGGTTAAAATTTTGTAAGGAAACCAGACGGATTCCTTAGGTTATATGTTTGAGTCCTGCAAAGGATTAAAGCCTCCTGTTTAAGCATGTAGTGACAGTTGACATCACTTGCATTGTATTGTTGATTATAGCAATCCCTCACACCAAGCATGCATTCAGCGACATTCAGCGACAGTTTGCTCATTGGCTCAGAAGGTTAATTGATGATTCACACATCTGAAAACAGTTTAGCTCGTTACAGAAGCTACAAAACTGAGAATTAAGTTTCTGGAGCATCACATTTGTGAAGTCAATTAAACGCTTAAAATGGCCAGAAAAAGAGAACTTTCATCTGAAACTCGACGGTCTATTCTTGTTCTTAGAAATTGAGGCTATTCCATGCAAGAAATTGCTAAGAAATTGAAGATCTCCTACAACGGTGTATATTTCTACCTTCAGAGGACAGCACAAACAGGCTCTAACCGTAGAAGAAAAAGAAGTGGGAGGCCGCGTTGCACAACTGAGCAAGAAGATAAGTACATTAGAGTCTCTAGTTTGAGAAACAGACGCCTCACAGGTCCCCAACTGGCATCTTCATTAAATAGTACCCACAAAACACCACTGTCAAAATCTACAGTGAAGAGGCAGCTGTGGGATTCTGGGCTTCAGGGCAGAGTGGCAAAGAAAAAGCCATATCTGAGACTGGCCAATAAAAGAAAAAGATTAAGGTGGGCAAAAGAACACAGACATTGGACAGAGGGAGACTGGAAAAAAGTGTTGTGGACGGATGAATCCAAGTTTGAGGTGTTTGGATCACAAAGAAGAACGTTTGTGAGACGCAGAACAAATGAAAAGATGCTGGAAGAATGCCTGACGCCATCTGTTAAGCATGGTGGAGGAAATGCGATGGTCTGGGGTTGGTTTGGTGCTGGTAAGGTGGGAGATATGTACAGGGTAAAAGGGATTCTGAATAAGGAAGGCTATCACTCCATTTTGCAACACCATGCCATACCCAGTGGACAGCGCTTGATTGGAGCCAATTTCATACTACAACAGGACAATGACCCTAAACACACCTCCAAATTGTGCAAGAACTATTTAGAGCAGAAGCAGGCTGCTGGTATTCTATCGGTAACGGAGTGGCCATCACAGTCACCAGATCTGAACCCCATTGAGCTGTTGTGGGAGCAGCTTGACCGTATGGTACGCAAGAAGTGCCCATCCAACCAATCCAACTTGTGGGAGCTGCTTCTGGAAGCGTGGGATGCAATTTCTCCAGACTACCTCAACAAATTAACATCTAGAATGCCAAAGGTCTACAATGCTGTAATTGCTGCAAATGGAGGATTCTTTGACCAAAGCAAAGTTTGATGTTAAAAAAATCTTATTTCAAATACAAATCATGATGTTAAAAAAATCTTATTTCAAATACAAATCATTATTTCTAACCTTGTCAATGTCTTGACTCAATTTTCTATGCATTTCACAACTTTGACCCCACACTTTTGAATGGTAATATATATATATATATATATATATATATATATATATATATATATATATATATATATATATATATATATATATATATATATATCTATATATATATATATATATCTATATATATATATATATAGATATATATATATATCTATATATATATATATTTATGATAGTTAAACTTATAATTTTGATACTTCAGCACAGAAAATCAAGCCTTTTTTTTCAAACTTTATTTACAAGTAAATTACATTCAAATTAAATTTTATAATGTACAAGATATATCTTGACTGAGGAGAGGATGCAAAACGAATCAGAAAATACAACAACGTATTTCAGGGACTAAGTAGCTACAGCAAGAGGCAAGGGAGATTAAGTGACATGTTTCAAAAAAAAAAAATAGATATGTCATGTTTTTATCTTTCATCCATTGATGTTTCCATTGTTTTAACAGGGGATAGGTTATTTTAAAGATCATTCAAAAACCAGTTAAAGGAAGGTTTGACCCCTTTCAATTTCCAGCGATTTTTGTCCATACGAGACTCTTTCATAATTATTGACTAGAATAGATTTCAGCAACTGATTTATCAATAAACTATAACATGTAATATAAAACACATGTTCAAATAAGGCATTTTTAATTCTGGAAGTATAAAGAAATGTACTGAAGTGGAAAGTCACAGATTGTTTTAGATTAAGTGAATTAAGATCATTACAGAGCCTCAGTATAAAATATAAAACTAAATTAGTAAATGAAAAAAGTAGCATTGTGTCAAATGCTGTGATTAATATATTTTTTTAAAAAGCCTTTTAATGGCTTTTATTAATCTCATTGAAAATATGCGTAATTAAAGTGGTGTATTGTATTGTACCATCTTGCATATTTTTGTTTGATGATAATACAGTATAACAGCGCCTCCTATCATACGCTGCTGTATTCGAATGCCTTATTGTTCTGCATTGTGTCACATGAATTCATCTAATCACACTGAATTATAATATACCCTGTATTGCAGCACATTCTATATTTGTTTCATGTTAATATTCATCAGACCATCCTCTTTTATAAGTTTTTTTTTATGAATTGTTGCATATGGTGCTGTCTTATTGTATTGTACACAAAATTGATTCATATTGTATCTTGTTTCAGTTCTCAGTGGCCAGGAATCTCGCGGAGTGCTGAGGAAAATTAGTGACATGCTAGAGATGATTATGAAAAGGATGGATGCAATGTCTAAGTTGGGCAACACCACTAACACCCACAGGATTGATGAACTCAGCTCAGCCCTGGACAGGTACAGCGTACCACAGACAGACACGCTTATTTCACTGAAAGGGACTATTTTCTTTGAAAATAACACTGAATGTGAAAATATCAAAGTTCATTCAAACACTTGGCTCTCAAAGTTCGAAATTAAATTTAGAAACAAAGAATAGCGTTAAAAAAAAACAAAAAAAAAACAGAAATCTGGTTAAGTAATAAATGGAGCTCAAAACAGAAATGAAGAATGCATGCATGAATTTCCTTTATAAAACATTTAACTTTTGTGTATATGTTTGCAGTGTTTGCAATATTGAAGATCTTGGCAAACACATTTGTTTTTCTGATTCAGATTTTTTCCCCTATGGTTGTTCTTTATTACCTTGAAAATAGGGCCTATATTATTTTTGACTTAATTGTGAACAGCTCCAAACTGACCCACATTAGCATAAGAACATTAAAAGGGTTGTCATGTGCACCAGAACAGTAAACTATAAGAAATACACACATCTAACAGTTTAAGTGCAGAAAAGAAGCCATTTATTGTGTCAGCAGAGGCTGTATTAAAGTGGCATTTTAGCGAGATCTGACAGCTATTTCAGCACAACGGACTCACAGCATGGAGACACAGTAATGGTGGGGCAGGGATGTTAACAACTTTACAAAAATCAAGTTTATTTCTAAACTTTATCATGCTGAGGGAAGCTTTCAGTTTTATGTTAATCTTTAGAAAACTTGAAGCAATCCGGTGTGTCGGACCTCAGCAGGGGCAGATTACTACATGCCAACAGGCATCCATAGCACTTTTAGGTTCTGTGTTTAGTTGTGATGAGCCTTTCAATATACTTAGACAAACTTTATTGTCATTTTGTATATACAGCGTGTATACAAAACAAAATGTCATTTCTTAAAGCTCTCATCCCATTTCAATTTCTCAAAAAAAAAAAAAAAAACATGGTGCAAAAAAACCCCAAAACGCTTTGATATAGTCAGTTTGATGCAGGGTCTGTGACATGATTTAGAGTTTTTTCAACATTCAGCTGTCTGATGGTGGTGGGGAAGAAGCTGTTTTGGAATCAGCTGGACCTGCATTGAATACTGCAAAGCCTCTTCCCAGAGGGCAGCAGGGAGAACAGTCCATGGTGGGGGTGTGAGGGGTCATCGATAATGTTATGGGCACAGGACACGCAGCGCTGGGATAAAATGTCTTTTATGGGATGAAGAGTGCTGGGATGAAAAGTTTCATCTCTGTATATTAACTAGCTCCAGCGTCTCTCCGTCTTTCCACAGTATTATTGTAGCCCACTAAAAGCAACAACAGGACAAAAATAAGATGACAATAAGCAAGCTAGAAAATACCTGAAAATAACAAGAAAGGAAACTACTGTAACTCATATAGCTACCTCTAAAAAGACAGAAATAATAGAATATGTTGGCCTATAACTACAGAACATACTGTGTTAAACAATGTAGAAATAAATATACTGGAAAACAAAGAAAAAAGTAAAACCTAAATCAAAATGCTATTGATCAGGATTCAATTATTTCTTGATGAAATTAATTTACGAGCAGTGAGTTACGTACGCACTTGTTGCTGTTGTTAACAGACCATATTTGTTTAGGTGTCTGCAAAGAAAGCCCCACGTTTTTTTAACCTTTGCTGATAAGTTCCCCATGGCAACCTCAATTCCAATTCGTCTTCAGAGGTATGAAATCAAACATCAAAAAGATCCTTTGAAAGTGCTTGCACTATCTTTTGCTGTAACACACCGAATAATGCACAGAAAGATATTACAGGTAACTGATATTGCAATTTTATGCAACTGCTGCTATGTGCAAACAAAAAAAAAGGAAATTACCTCACCCGACCTCAACCTTTTTCTCATCCCACCTTGATTTTATCCTCACCATAATTTTCATGATGCCCTATAGATATCCTTTCAGCTACATACATCTTACAGATTAATTGGCCTCTCAGGGACTAAACTAGAAATGTTACAGTGGCAAAGGCCAACCCCTTTTGGTAGGGAAAAATAAATCATTGTTTATGGCACAGAGTCATGGCTGGCACATTAGATCAGAGACAGAATAACAGGAAAACTTTGCTCACTTTAAAAGCTAATTAGGATTCTTCCCTGCTCCCCAAAGGCTGCCCTGTTGAACACTAGTAAATCTTAAAGCTGTATGGCTGTACATGTTTCACAGTCATGTAGCTGTTAATTAACCTGTGCTGACTTATTGTAGTGTAAAGTTTGTTTATTGTAAATAGAATATTTAGCTTTGTCTGGATGTCATGTCTGTGTGAACTGAACTACAATACCATTGTGCTTTGGGATTAGGCAAAATGACTCCTATTATGGCGATTAGATTCATTGTCAGTGGTAGAAAATTCACATAAGCATGCTATGTTAATGATTTATGAAGCTTTAATGGAAACAGATTTATACGCATTGATCTGCATCTGGGTATAAAGAATTGCTTCATTTTGTTATTTTCTGAACTTTTCAGGTTTAATATTCAAAGCTGTTTAATGGGGTATATAAATAACAGATTCCTTTCATACATTAAATGTTTTTACCTAAGTGTTTTTCATGTAAATTTTTAACGATACCTCACAAGCCAGAGAATATGACTTTGTTCTGTAATAACACAATCTGGAATCATTAAAGTCTTCTGCTGAAGAGATGAGATTTAAGGTTAGAAGTTCTTTTTTTACATTAAACATTTTTTTTGTTTTTTTCATTGTTATATAAAGATGATGAGCTAAAGAAAAATGCAGCTACAAAGTTCAGTTTGAGTTTAGTGGTATGTACCTTTTATTAAAGCATATTAATTGGATTTAGCTCTGGACTTTGACTAGGCCACTTAAAAAACATTTGTTCTCTTTGTTAACTAAGCCTAAACTAACTGATGTGCTAAAGATTGATGTCATGCTTGTTATGCAGTTACACCTAGCTGATTCCGAGTAACATTGATTGTAATAAGAAATTATGAATTATACTGATAAATTTAATTGACAATAAAAAAGATGGTTTAGATGAAAAATGTGTGGTTATCAGGCTTTAAAAATTAAAATTTACAATTAAGAATGTCAGTTGCTGTCATCTAGTCATATAATATACCAGGAAATTTTGATATTTAAACCAGCTGGGTTTGCATTAACTAATAATACATGTTAAGAATTTAATTTATTATTGAAATTGGTAAATGTTAATCATTAATCAAACCCCAAGAAATGTATCTATGTAGTTAAGCTGTTACCTTGAAAGGGTCATTCTGACTCTTAGAGACAACCGATTACTAAAATAATAAAACTACTGAGAACTACCAATTCTATAACCGAAATGTATTACTTATATTTGGTCAGCTAACTAACATGTCCAAAAGTTGTAAAAAAAAAAAAAAATTATGAAAATAGACATTTGGGAAGAAGAGATAAAATGACCTTTTTGTTGGCTGCGACTGCAGCCGTTTACAAATACCAACTGTATGCTACTGCAAAGTTAAATCAACAGAAAGCTTAGGCAAACTCCTTCTGGGGCAAATAAAAAAAAAGAAACATTAAAAAGCTATTTCCACTGCCTAGGTAAAAAGTATGGAGGACCCAAACTTTACTTACTGATAGTTGTAACTTGTCTGCTTCAGTTCTAGGGAAAAGGGAAAGGATTGATAGCAGTCTTAGTGAGGTTTGTGGCTGCAAAAGGCAGAGGGCAGGCTGCACTTCTCTCTAGCAGCTGCAAAACGTTTGGTGGCAGCCTGGCACTCATAGATTTGCAGCCTGCGTTCACAGCAAATGCAGCGTTCATGGCAAGGGCGGTGGATTTACATAGTATCCCTATGAGAACTGCACGGGAAGAGCAATGAAGTGGCAAATTCCACACAATGTGAGTGGTCACTGCACCATCCTCAGTATACTACTAGAAAGTATAGAATCTGAGGTGCTTTCAAACAGCCGAACCTCGTAGAGAGGGCGCAGTGGATACTGCTGAGGTGGAAAAATCTGAACTTTTCTTCGAAATTGTGCCATGGCAACCAACTGGTGGCTAATATGCCGTACTTTAAAGAAAGGCAGGCGAGATGAAGGTTTTTCACTCAGAAATTAGTATAGAGAAAATAATGTTTACAAAGGAGGACATAAGTAATGCTCTGAGGAGGTTTTTAGGTGGCTTTTACAAAAGGCGTTTTAATTTAGCTGTAGAAAGACTGTTCATTGTCATCCCTTTCTTTCATCACAGACCCAGCCCATATACAGTAGTCCTCTCCCCATCACTGGCGCTCTCAGCCTTGCTAGATTAAAGGACGTTTTCCAATCTGACCATCATCCAGACGCAGCTCTGGATGAACCAAAGCTATCTACTTTTTCAGAGGCTTGGGGCTTTTCCAAAAATTGATGGTCTTCCCAAACTGATTCAAAAGTTGTAGTTTAGGACAATTTAGCCTCAGTCTGTAAAGTTACGTCTTACCTATGCTTTAATTGTGAAGTCCTTACAGCAGGACTAGGACAGGTCTGCCAGGCTGAAGAACAACTAAATATTCCACCCACTAAATAAGGTAAACATGTTGACATATATTTAATGCCAGCACAGCAATGACATATTATGCTGTGAAATAACCATGTTCTGAAATGAGCACAGCACTAATGTCTGGTTGGTTGATGACATCATCGGCCAAAATTAAACAAATTATATCTTAATTAACCAAAGCAGCACAAACTACAGAGTGAACTGCATTGATCTGCAGCACTGAAAGTAGCACTGAAAGCGTAGACCTCTTAATGGGGGGATGGATGCCCCCTAGATGACCGAAAAAAATAATAATATATCTGAAACAAAAGTAGTACAAATGACTCTCTTTGTTTGTTTTGTTTATATTTTATTTTTTACAAAAGATTATTTTTGCTGCACTAACAAAGCACTAAGATTCAGTCTATTTTCTGAGACTCTGGTGTGAGCCAACAAATTTAACAAAGACGTTTTGTTATTGCATTGTGTTTATTGGCAATTGTTCATTATTGGATTAAGTGAAACTTGATTGATTTGTGATATGTGATTGATTTGACTTATACCAATAGACCATTATCACACATCTGTTTGCTATATATCATTTCTACTGCTAATCAACAGTTGAGCTAATGGACTTAACATTATCAGACTCTACCTCAAGAACTTCTTTAAATTATTCTGTTCACTGATTCTTTCTTTTGTCTTGTGTTTTTTCCAGTAACTTAGTGTTTGCTTAGTTTCTTAAACATAATAATAGTGAATTATTAGGTTCAATAAATAAATCACCTTTCTGTTTTAACTGGTCGTATCATGATTATTTATACAGCAATGACACATTGTCTAAAAAAGCAGAGCCTACCTCCCTTTTGGTTAATAACTTGATTAGACAGAGAGAAATAGTTTAATGATTAATAACGCTGCTTAATTTATGAGATTATTGAAATGTACTAATGGTGAAGACATCTTACATTTTAGCAGACGGTTCAAAATGTCCAGCCATAGAGGTAAGCAGTTAATTACACCTGGTAATTGAGCAAATTGTGAGTTATAATCCTCTAACTAAAAATAATTACTAGGCTCTACCCTTGATTTGAATGACATAGTTAACTATAATAATATATTCGTAATCTGCTGGCAAAATATCACAAATACAGACAAGGACAGATTTTCCAGGTTATAATTGCTAGTTAGCTAAAAAGTTTAAAATTGACCTTCCTGTTTTCAATTCACAGCCTGAATGAACAAAGCCTGTTTTCACATCTCTTTTTAAAAACCTGTTCTTAAGGTGCTTAAAGCTACAGTGTGTAATAATTACAGGGATATACAGTCAGAAATGTAATATATTATACATAACTATGTTATTTATCATCATCTACGAGCTCAGCCTCTTAACCTTAATATTTGCGTTGCCTTAGAATTCGTTATTTATAATTACATAGGAGCGGGTCTCGCAGCCATGGAGGCAGACATCTTTGCGCTACGGCAGCGCAGAGCCAACAAACTAGTGATTGCGAGATCGCCAAAATGTCACAACGATGTAGAAAAAATAACGGGTATATTTATTATCTTAAGTCTACATGAAATCTATACCCTACACAGACTAATGAAATACTATCTGTAAAATTATCTATGTAAACAAACCTCATCACTTGAGAAGGTAGTGATGCAGACGTCGTGTAAGACATTTTGTCCCGTAACGCTCGCCGTACTGTTGGGGGGGAGAAGCGGTGGGGGGGAGATGTTCATGTTGCTGCAGTCTGCAGTCTGACCGCTAGATGTCGCTAAAAGTTACACACTGTAGCTTTAAAGTAACTAACTTTTACCTTTCGGTCAGTATATTATACTCTCCAACATATTTTGGGTTTATGTCTTCCCTGAAAAATAACCAGGCTGAAAATCCTCAGATTTAGGTCACTGCCTAAATTCTACTGATGGAATATCACTTCTGAAACTGTTTTGCTTTTTAAAATGAATATGTTTTTAATTCTTAACTAATCAACAAAATGTTAGGTCTAAAGAAAGTTTGGTTTTATTTGCATTATGGCTTTAGGTGTAGTCATCATCATATTAGGTGGAAGTATAAGACCTTCATATGATTCACATTTCACTTGTACGATCCATTCTGTTTTTACCCCCATGTTAATTAATCACTTCCTCATTAAAATGCCAGCCCTTTATAGGTTACAGTGTTCAGATCAAATTAATTAATATTTCCCTGCAACATGTTGTTATTAGACAGACTTCTTCACAAAGAACTAATTGAAAATGTGAATTACTCATCTATCTAAATGAACAAATTACTCAAATTTGAAGCCTTTATGTTCTTAAACTTCTTTATAAAAGGCATTTTCTAATTTGTTTTCCCTATTCAGGGCATACTGAGAATTGCTGACACATATTAACCTTATAGGAATTGCTTCAAGATACTCAAATGCATTGCCATGCAAAATAATAAAAGTTTTTAACAGACGTTGTGCTTTTGTATATCTGTCTGTGACTTTATTGGTCAGGTTTCAGCCGATGGGGCTGGTGGACAGGATCCAGGCCATAGCCCAGAACATGTCCGACATGGCCGTGCGGGTTGAGCAGATCCTGCAGCGCAGCATGGCCAACAGCCGAGGTACAGCCCTAAAGCACACATGGGTGCACATGCAGAGAACACGCGATGAATACCAAAGACAGCTCCATCCTGTCTGACAAACACTCCTGTCTGGTCCCAGGCACATCCCATCTGAATCTGGGCCTGAACTTTAAAGTTTAGCTATCACACCTGAATGCTTGAATGCACAGACTACATGCTGGCTGATTATACAGAACATGATAGTCATTATTTACGGAACATTATCTATTCAGGCTGCAACTACTTTGTTTTGTTTGAGGAGCTTTACTGCAATGCACTGTTCTGTTGTTGCTGCGTATTGCACAGAGGACTGCTTTCTGCTGCACCTTCCCATCACAAAGACGAACAGCTCTGTTGTTAATCACGTCCAGGTTATGTCACTTACATTAATAGCTCCCATTGCTATCTACTTTATAATGCATAAAATAGAAATTAGACTGCATTATTTTACTCCCAGCCCCCATGTATTATTATTACCCTTCACTTGACTGAGCAATGTTTAATAAATAAAATCAGTAAAATATGTCATAATTTCTCTTTGTCTGATGCCTTTAAAACAAGACGGGTGTATCTGGCTGCGTTTTGACAAGAAGGGGACGTGGCTCGTTTTGTAAGGAAAACTCTGTCGTTATGTTAATCTGATGGACTGACTGGTAATTATTTGTCTGGAAATGTGCCCTTTTAGGGCTTGGCAATATGCCAACAGAGGAGCTGAAACTGCTCCTTAATTAGGACTACTCGAGCTGAGCTTCAAGAAAAAGAAAAAGAAGGGGGGGTAAAAGCAGATAGAGGAAGGAAGGAGAGATTTAGTCATCGACAGTAGTGTAGAAAGAGGATGCGGAGAGTGGAATAAGAAGACAACAAGTAGAGACCGAATTATATTTGTGATTCACTCTAACATGATCTATGGATATTAAACCACAATGAAGCTTTCAACAGATGACGTCCATTTGCAAGGGAGGCCAAGTTTGTTGCTAGATCTATTCACCAATTTACCTCTGCTTTCCCATTGGCTGAAGATGCATTGCTTGACCAAAAAAAGGGAGAACTACTTGTTGAATTCATCAATATTATCTACGGTGATCAATAAGCTGGCAAGCTTCCAAATCTATTAGTTTTTCACCCTCCATTAAATTATCATTCTTAGATAATTTTGATTATTTTGCAGAGGGCTGTAATGGAAATTTAGGATTCAACAAGTGTTTTACAAATAAAAATCTGACAAGGGTGGTGAGCATGTCTATTTAGCCGCTTTACTCTGATACACCTAAATCCAGTGTCACCAACTTCCTTCTTTGTGTCATTTTGTTTGTTTATCCAGTCTAGGCTAATCTTAAGGGGCTATAAAACTGATAAATATGAAAACTGTATACAGATTACACAGGGGAGTTAGGATATGGATTTTATATATATACATATACATATATATATATATATATATATATATATATATATATATATATATATATATATATATATGTATATATATATATATATATATATATATATATATATATATATGTATATGTATATGTATATATATATATAGGATAAATAATGTCAGATAATAGCAGATAAAACACTTGCAGATTATATACAGCTATGGTTGAGATGTGTGTGTAAGTGGTGTTGGATCTGTGTGAGTCCATATGTAATTTTTGTGTGTTATGTATGTTTGTGTGTTTATGTTTTTTGGGAGGAGGGGGCATACAGTCCTTATACTTAGTGTTAGCAGGCGTTCAGGAGCGTGACAGCTGAAACATGCTAGTTAGAGAACATTAGGGAACAAAAATACCTTTTTGATCATGGTGCCCAAGAAACACTAGGTCAGGGAGACCATTCTAAAGATTTTGAAAGAAAGGTTGACTTATAAAGAAGGAATATTAAATAAGGCACTCAACAGTCTGTTGTGCACAAACTGAGACAGTTGAGTGTCTCCCCTATTTAGGATGCTGGGAAATGACTTGAAAGTTCCTATGCAGACACTTTCGCCTTCTAATCACACTAGAATAGAGCTATTTGTCACTACAATGAATGTTATAAACTAATCTGGTAGATACCCTCCACCCCTGAAGGCAATTGTAACATCAGTGAAAGATGGTTCAACAAGGGTTTGGCTCTTGTGTGCTAAATACAAATAAATAACTTTTTTTCAGAGGGTTAATGACATTTTTATGCTTCTGCAAGGTACTGAAAAACAATCTAACTCTACAAGATGGTAGTTAATCAGAGTCTATTGTAAATATTAACACAGGTTCTGTACGGATCTCTGTTGGGGGCATTGACCAAGGTTCCACAATAGCAGTTATTATCATTAACACTGATTCATCACATATACATTGGTAATCAATGTTTCTAAAACTTTCTGAATTACAATGATTTATTGCAAGTCGAGCAGATATCTGTACTCTTACTGATTACACTGTGGCTGTAAAGTGCATTGAGAAAATATTCATACCCTATAATGGTTAAATATAGTTAAATTTATATTATTGTCATTATTAATATTATATACTGTTTTCTCATACAGACACCTTTGCATTGTATACTTTTTTACACATATTTAACAAATTATCTGCATTTAGTATTTGGGGGTATGCCTTTTCAAACTCCACACATGTAAACAGTTTTAATTTTGGGGAGGAATTACTTCTATCTAAAACAGCATAGTCTCCAGGGAATTGACTAAAAGGCACCTGAAAGCTATTAGTCCATTAAATGCAAAATCTTGTGAAGAAAAATAAAGCTTAAATGTCACCTTTAGAAATACATCTGTGGCACTAACATTGTAATACTTTACTTTAACTGTGTTTTACTGCTGCAGTTGCCAGGAGACTTGTTGGCTTCGACAGAAAGATAGATGCATGAAGAACAGTAATTTGGAACATTTTTCAGAGTCTACAGGGTATAAGCTTGCTGTTACATGAAAACCATGACCTAAAGCAAACGGGAAAAAAATTTAATAAAATAAAAATTCAGGTGTCCAGACAGATGGTTCTCATTTGTCTTGGTTTCGCTTGAAGCTTACTGAAAATTGTCAAGGCTTATGGCTGCATATAAAGAAATGTTTTTACAGAAATTGACTGTACAGACAAAAACTAAATTGACACATATCTATGTCGAATAAAAAAACAAAAAACAAATCTCACTTCAAAAGATAGTTTCAATAAAAGAAAAAAAAAACTGCTGAAATAATAATAATAAAAAAAAAAAATAATGCTCTTGATTAACAAGAAGGAGATCAGTGATCATGTTGCTCAAGCAACATTCATTATAATTCATGCAGGAATAAGAACAGTTACAGAGGAAGACATCTGTCCAGAACAGTAGCATCTGTTCTGGTCCACCAGAGAAAATCACTCCTCTTATAACAAAATTTTTGCCTGTTCTGCATCTGACTGACCATCTGCTGTACGAGATTATAAATGTCTTTATCGGGTGATATCACATCACAAAAGCGCAAGATGAAATAGTTTTACAACAGAACCTATTCAGTGTTACAATAAGTTAAAGACACTGAGTTTTATGGGAAGCAAAGTTCAACTGGTTATGAGAGAAAAGGAAATCAGAGGGAGATCAATTGGACTGTATGATCTGGTTTAATTGTCTCTGTAAAGTGCCTTGAGATTACATGTTTTGTGAATTGGCGCTGTATAAATAAACTGAATTGAAGAGATACATTTTACCTCTACATCTCATCTAATAGTAGTAGTTATCCCTCATGCTAAAAAGTGGTGTTATACCCCAAAACAGGATGGATGTCCAGGGGCTTTGTTTCAACACAAAGTAATGTAAATGCTTTCTTTTAAAGAAGATATTTCAGAGTTAAATAATTAATAATCCACTTTTTGTCTTCACATAAATGTAGCTTTATTTATGAGAGCATTTGTAAAATTTTAATTCTAGAATTTGAAATTGGGAACCTTCTCTGCTCTGTATTTTCAATCATAGTAAAACACTAAATGATACAAGAGGGAAAACAATCTATCTTCCTAATTTGGAGATTTAAATTTAAACAGAAACTTGTGAAGAGAGACTTTCTTACTTCTTGTGAAACGAAAGCAGAAACTGTCCCAAAAGAAAGAGCCGTTTTTATGGATTCCATTCTGTCTAAGAGTTTACCTGACCTCACATGACATTCTTCCGGTGGTAAAGAAACATCTTTTGAATTTTAGCCTTTGTATTAACATTTGCAAATGTCTTTTCTAATTAATACAATTCCAGTGTAAAAAATTCCTGAGAGACTTTGCCAACAATAATGTTACTGCTAACAATATTCATGACATGCTTGAATAACAAAGACTTTATCTTTGTTATTTGGGTTACCCAAATCAGTCCCTTTAGGGATGTCCCATGATGCACTTAGATTTTCTCACTGCATTTTTCAAAATAACATTTTGCATACATTTTCTTTAGGGAAAGAAAAGTGTTTTAGCAGTTTCATTCTAGATTACTGAGTCTTTGACTCTTAGCCAACGGCAATCTACAAACACTATCAACCTCCAATGGGTTTATCCTGGTTGAGGTCCTATTGTTAAACTGAAAGTATTCTCCCTCTGTTGCCTCACATGCATGATGGGATATAATCTCACCCTAAATTAAGCTGTATTACATGGAAGGGATTTGTTGTTTATTTATTATGATTTCTTCGTTAATTAATCTGCTTCTTACTCATATGTTGTTTATTATGGGAACTTTTGGGGTGAACAGATTATACAACTATGTTGAGGTAGGTTCAACATACACTATTTTTTTAGCCATTGATATTATGCAGATATAATTTTGGTTGCAAATCTGACCACTGTTCTAGATAGAATTGATCAAGTTTATTTAAACTGTTTGATTTACTAGCACTAAATTATGTTTAATTGTTATCCATAAATCCACATTAAGGTTGAGGTCAGAGTCATTTGAAGATTCCCTGCTTTGTTAATTCTGAAACCAGTTTGGGTCTTTATGCAGATTCTTTACATAGTTTTTTTTCCTATCATCATTATTATTATTATTATTATTATTATTATTAATAGTCAAACGTTATTTCTACTTTTATTTCTATTTCAGATGACTTTACTGATTAAATCATTTTGTTAAGAGTGGTGTTTATATCTTAACACGCAATGATCTGGATGGAGATAAAGCTTGGTCCAGTGCATTAGAGCAAAATATTTTTGCCTTATCCATGTTCTTAAGATTTTATTCTTCCTATAAGGACATTCTCAGATAAAGCTTAAGGCCTTTTGAATAGAAAATCAGCATACCTTTGTTTTTTATTGATCAAAGTTTTATGCTGCATCTGAAATAAAAAACAACCCTAGGGGGTTGTTATAGGGTTGTGCTAAGCACATAAAAAATCCTTATTACCTTGAAAATTTTACTAATGAGTTTATGAAACATTTCTGTCCAAAAAACATACCCCAGGATGTTTTGTTTTCTTTCCTTAAGAATTAAAAAAATAAACATATCAGTTTTTCGTTCTCTGCTTTCCTCCAGACCCTTTTCAAAGTCTGTTTATATTCCTATCTTTACAGGTAAAGATGGGGTCTTTGGATCCTGTGAGACTCCCAAGGATCCCCATTATCCAGACTGCTCCAGCAAGATGGATGTAAACCTTCATATCTTTTTCGCATGCACCATTTCACACAACAAGCAGTCATCACTCCATCACCTCACAGCAACATTAATTATTAAAGATAGCGGAATGTTAAACGGCAGTGCAAAACTGACATGTCTGATAAGTGTGTTATGATAGCAGGAAATAGAAACATACTTTATGGAAGGTAAAAGGAAAACAGGGACTTATAGACATACGTTAAAGTATAAGTAATAAAGTAATGAAAGCCTCAACTATATACATTTACATTAATCTTGTTGTAGTGCTATAAGTTTTCTGATATATGCCCTTTTGTCTTTCACATTTTAGAGAGTGACTAAGAGATTGCTTTTTTTCAGTCTTGTATGTTTTTTAAAAGGTAAGAAAAAAAATACGTTGTATGTAATGCCATACACAAATAATACATATTTTTTTTAAAAAACATCTAGGAATACAGTAACCTGGATACATAGAATAAGCTGTTAAAAAGTTAAGAAAATGAAATTCAGCATTTATATGTATCTTAATAAAATCAGAATTTCATCAAACAGTTTAGAAAATGTAATGTTTGAAAAGGAAACTGAATATATAGATCACCAGCCTGAAGTTTTTGTCTTTTTACTTTATTCAAACTTCAATACTTATGAATTAAAGACACAAAAAAAAAACATTGAGGTGTAAAATAGATAATTTTAAACACAGAAATGTCCCAGTATAGTGGTACATGTAAAGTACAATATATGCACTCGCTAAGAGGTTGAGATTAATTTAGCAAAATGTAATGCATAATGGTGACGATGGACTTAACTGGAGTCCTGACCATGCTTGGCTAATGGCTACATAAAGGATGGAGTCACAGCCTAACAGAGCAACAGGCCAGATGAGGCTTATGATGGCAACATTTAGTTAGAAGGTGAACTTAAAAATGATACCGAGTTGGAGAGTAGAAGTAGAATAGAAATGATGAAATGTGGTCCTGCAGCAGCCTAAGCCTAAAGCAGCATAAACATAGAGATAGCTAATCTAGGTAATCTGAGGCACTCTACCTATAAGCTTTTCTAGTGTATTACTAATATGATACCATGTTTTTAATTGGTGAAGTATTGGTTTTCATTAGCTATAATGAACAAAAAGTTATGAGATATAAATAATTAGAAAAACTTCTTGAAATATTTAACTCAGTGACATATTGTAAATTTAATTTGAAAAACAAGTCAGCATTTTTTATCATTTTCATACTACATTGCATCTGTATTTGTAGCATGAATTTTGTCTTTTATTTTAATTTTGTTAATGTTTTCATTTGTTAAATCCCTGAGAAAAAAGAAAATGTTGTTTTCTAGTGGATGCGTGCTCGCTGGACCTCGGACCCCTGCTATGCATTCTACGGTGTCGACGGCTCTGACTGCTCCTTTCTCATCTATCTGAGTGAAGTGGAGTGGTTCTGCCCCCCGCTGCCCTGGAGGAACCAAACTGCTACACCCACTCTGAAGCCTCTTCCCAAAAAGCAGGTACAAAAAACCCACTTCCGGATCATTAATTTTACCTCCACCATAACACAGCTGGCTGATGAGGAGAAACGAACACAGGCCAACAGCATCATTTAGAGTGGAAACATTTGCCTGCTAATGCAAACACATTAGTTCAGTCCCTGGAAAGTAAAAAATAAACATTTGTTGCCTTTTACAAGAAATCTGGCTTCACAGCTGAATTAAGAGACAGTAGTTTGTTTTTGAGCCATTTAGAAAGAGATCCGTATAAAAAGAGGCAAATTATAAGAGGAAAGAAAATGTGTTGGTGAATAGGAAACAGCAGGTGGTTATTGCTACTAAAACAACCAATTCTTCTGTTTTTATAAAATGCTATATGTACGGATTTTCAAATTCCTTTTTTTTTATGCTGAGAGAAAGTACGAAATTTAAAAAGTTTAACAATATGGCATGGCCTTAAACCAAAAGTTATATTTGTTCCTTTATCTCCAGAAAGAAAAGTGCAGAAACTCAGCTGAGGGTTATTTTTCTTCACATATTTCCTCCAATCTTCTCCAGTTTTTACTATCTTCTGATTCTCTGCCTCATTTAATCACTTTATTTTCAGCATCAACATGTGAAGATCTGACCTTACAGTCACTCTGCCAGGGGCCTCCCCAGTGTTTGCCTCCATCTCATCTTTCTTGTTTTCTCCCCCAGAGTTATATACTGCTGCCATGATGGGACCTGATGTTAGTTTTCCCTACAGCTCCACCTTCTGCTCTAATTGCCGGCCTGCTTCCACAAGAATTATTCCCAAAATGGTTTCCCCCATTACTTGTTCCACATCTTGCTGTAAAGTACACGGGTTGCTAATGGAAGATATATAATGGATCTCTGATGCCAGCATACAAAACAGCTTTGCATTTTCATGACATTTCCTGATATTGTTCACTTTTTAAATAGTGCATGCGTGTTAGAATTCTATTATTTGTGGGTATCTTTAGTCTTTTCTGCTTGCAGTCACTCAGGTGAAAATAAAACACATAGAGATATTGCCCTGTGATGCATAAATTACACAAAGAAGATGTAAAATGTGAAGGGAGTATTTATGAGGTAAATCCGGATTCCCCTCAGGCATCAGCTGGAGAAGCCGTGCCATGAGGTACAAACAAAAAACACAACTTGACGTACTGTCTGTGCTTCTGCAGTTTTAACCACCTCCAATAAAAACAGCTTGCTCAAAGAGAAGGGAACAATACTGTCAGTTTTATTCTATCTTTTATCATCCACCCTGTCCTGCTTTAGGGTTACTTTTTAAAGCTGCTGCACTATTTATAGAAATAAAGTCCTTTAAATTTACACACCGATTTCTTATAAGAGGTTCTCTACATTCACAGTGTTCTTGCTCCTCCATCCAGGCATTTTTCCAGTCCGATATTGGGAGTCTGCTGGAGCAGGTTGGAACCGGGAAGGAGTCACTGAGCTTCATGAAAAGACGCATACGCAGGCTGTCTGCGGAGTGGGCCTCTGCTGCCCGCCGACTGGATGAGAAACTCCGCAGCCACCCGAGAGAACAGAAAAGGGTAAACAGGAGTTTTAACACAGACAGGAAGCATCAAAATGTTTGATTCTTTTGAATAATATAAACATTATGACTGAAATTGACATTTAAGATTTGCACGTGTTCCTTGTTATCAGCTCATAGATACATGGGACATTAGATCTACATCAGTGAGAATAAAAGTTAAGAATTTATGAATATTAGTTATAATTCCCCACAATGCAGATAAAATCCTTAGCAGTTGGTGGCAGTAATAAATCTGAATGTTGTTTGCCAGCCACCATTAAACAAGAAGAGAAGACAAACGAAAACAAAACCATCGGTTGTAGGTAATATCTTTGCTGAAATGTTATTTCCAACACATATGTATAGCCTACATTATAACATTCAATCCACTCTGTCTGCATGGACCAGTTATGCTCCAGTATAAACCCAGTAGTGCCCTATGAAGAGTGGTGACCTGTCCAGGGTGTACCTCAACTTTAACCCTATGGATGGATGGATGGATGGATGGATGGATGGATGGATGGATGGATGGATGGATGGACCAAACTAAAACCCTTTTCCAACTAATTCCTTAAAGAAGCAACTTCATTAGTAAATAGATAATTTCCATACAGATTAATCTCTGTATAAACCCAGTTATGCTGCTAAAAAAAACCATCTGAGATAAAGATGTGCATAAGTCCTACTGATCACTAAGCTGTAGGAGCAATAGGGGGCTTTTAAGATCAATTAGCAGAATGAGAAATATTTGTAACTAGAAAAGCACACCTCTGCTTTTCTCTGCAAGCAACAAATGTTGCCCCATCTATATCTAAAACTATAGCTAAAAATTGCATATAATCTGGTTCTTTGCCCAATTTAAATGATTTATTTATTTTTATTTTTGCCATGAGGTGCACCTGTGGTAACAAATGTCCTTAAAATCAGTTTTCAATTGATCCTACTAACAAAACAGCAATGCTGCCTTTTCATCGGTTATTGTCTTTAGTAAAATACCTTTTGACTTTTTGAGTCTGATGCCCAGGCAGTCAATACTCACTGCTGCCACCCTCTGGTTTAGGGGGAAAACGGCTTCTTCTGTCAAATATCTCTAGTTCACAATGTCAGAGAATCTTTAAAAAAAATCCTTTATTCGGGTAATGATCTGGATCCTCACCAAACTTTTATGGATTGTTCCTTGGCCTGAGGTGCACCTTTTTAAAATTATAAAAAAAAAATAAAACCGACACTGATGAAAACTAATCATGTAAAACTTTACATTAACAGAACACATAAAATCCCAATAAATGACACAGACATTTTTGGTTGTACAGTGACCAATTGGAAAATGTTAAAATTGCCTTTTTTATTTTGCTATAAAATCTACATAGTGCCATTTGAGCTCCACACACATGAATTGATGAGGAGATTTGATTTTTTTAGCTGTCAGAGAATTTTTGCAAGGTTTCCAGATTTAATCCTGGATAAGAAAAAGTCCCTCTCATTACACGTTTTTGAAACAGACGGTTCTTTTTATACCCTTAAGCCATTTCCGCTGAGTTACCCTTAACAGCTGTGACATTTTCTAGGACTAATATTTTCTTCTCTTATCTATGGCCACCTGGAGTGAATCTAGCAATGTTGAGTTCAAGGCAGAAGAAGATAATGACAGACAGGCGCCTTGCGCAGACGTCTGCTGGCTCTAGTGCGCTTTCACTGCTGACATTTACAGGGACGTTTTCCCCCAGTTTCTAAAAAGCCTGGCCCCGAGGAACGTGTGCCTGACGAAAAAGGGTTCTGACATTAGATATATCCCTGTGTTTGTGTTCACACTGTTGGAAAATTCAAATAGTTCTTAGAAAAAACAAACCCATCGAGAATTTTCTTTGAAGTCTTTTGCCTTAATTTGGTCAATTTTGCCCTAGAGATTGTAAAATAATATGAAGACAACATTAAACACATTAACACAATTTATTTTAAAAAACCCACACTTTAAATATATATCCTCTAGTATACCCAAATGACAGGACTTAGCAGAGATTACAACACCCACATACTCCCCTGACTTGCATATGCATTTTTATTTAAGTCACTATTTTATCTTGATATCCCTGTGAGTTTTTAATAAAATACTACATTCCCCACGCCGACCCTTCAGAGACTAACACTGAGTAGGAAAATATATAGTAATCTCAGAATTTACATAATTTGATTTAAAAACCACGGAAGGTTTCAGGTTTTTATGCTTATTATACTTTTAGAGAATCAGAGCTGCTTCATAAATTTGGAGTCTCACACTTACCAAGCTCAGATTCAACTGATTAACTTGGAAATGAGTGCTATTAAAACCTCTTAAATTTGATCTTATGTCACATTATCACCAAATACACTGGATGACTTTTTACATGACGGAGAAACATGAGAAAATATTTAATTGTGGGGCAGGAAAAGGATTGCTTTTAAAATGTAAATAAAGAGAAGAAGATATATAGACATGCAGATAGACTTTAATGTCCAACAGGGGATATTCATTTACAACAGACCCCACCAATCAAAACACATGTAAAAAAAACAAACATTAAAGCAACAATACAGAATAATATCAGAACTCTGTACAGCTCTCTCTAATTAAGGTCTCTCAAATCAACACCAGCAATCTTAGCTATACCTAGTTACCTATTTTCTGCAGCAAAAATATTCCCACATCATGACACTACAGTCTCTGTGCTTTACAGTTAGGATGGATTTTCCAAAGCAGGCAAGCTTCCTTTTTTTTTTTTTTGTGATAAAGACACTTTCCTTAAATCTGTAGCTGGCATATTAAGATGGTGTTTAGCTGACCTAACCCAGTTGTCAGGAAACATTTCCCTTTTACAAATCAATATAACTTCAAAAAGGTCTAATTTTCCTTTCATAAAATAGCAGCTCTAAAAAATAGGGAAAAGTAGAAAGTAAAACAGACCTATGGTAATCTTAATAACACATTAAATGGCAACAAAAATGTTGGTTGTCTACCCTTTACAATTTTTATGATCAGAGCTATAGTTGAAAATCTTTTAAAAAAACTGGAGCTTAGCCAAACAAGACTGGAAAAGAGTTGAAATCAATGCTGCCACCATCCAAAGTGAGTTGGATCACTTTTAAATGCTACCAAGGTAATGAAATGTTCATAACATATTGGAGCAGAACACTGAGGTATAAAAACAATATATTGCATTTTTTTCTAAAGGAAGTCCGCTGAGTTTTCGCCTTTTTTGCACTACGTTCATTATCATTTCATTTAAATTAGTTATTTGGAAGAAAAAATTCACAAAACTATACATTTCCCTCACCAAACACATATATCTATATGGTTGCTGCTACATTAAAACTCCATACTCTTTTACATTTTTAGACAGATTAGTGGAGCCTAAATATGGGTGGATGATGCAATAGCAAGTTGACTGCTCATATGCTGTAAGACATATGGAAGTTTTGCATACCACTCATACTGAAGAGAACATTCTTTGTAGTTGTTTACAAAAGGTTTTTCTGCAACAAATGGGAGGTGGGAGTTAAAAAAAGAGGTGCTAACATATGCCGAAATGTCTTAATTTCATTAAATATACAACAGGTTGGAAATTACAACCTTCCCCATAAGCATTTAAACTGCTCCTGTATCGCTCTGCATGAAAATTACAACTCCCCTGTTCGATTTTTATTCTAGATTCATGCAGAGTTAATGGTGTTTTCACAAAGCTAAGCTGAAAAAGCCATAAATCTGCAGTTTTGCTTCTCTTGAACATGCAATTAAATTAAAACATGAAATATCACTGAGTCATGTTTGATCGCTGATTTTATTATGAGCTTAATCTCTTTCAGTGTATGTGTGTCATGGTCTTGGTTCTGTTGTTCTTTTCTTTGCTCCTTGTTTTCTAGATTTATTAGCCTAATTCCAGTTTTGTTGTATTTCTAGATTTATATTCTCAAGTTTTTCTGTTGTCCTCTTTTGCCCTCTTGTGTGTGTGTGTGTATGTTCCTTTCCCCTTGGCTCCCTCGTTGTCTCCTCTCACACCTGTTCCTTGTCTGCTCGTTAGCCCTCCCTTTGTCTCTGTCTCCTATATATGCTTTCCCTCCGCTCTCACTCTTTGTTGGTTCCTTGTCTTTGCTGTCTTCCCATGCTGTGGTCTATGTTCCTCGTCTCCTCCTGGCTCCTCGTGTTTGGTTTTCCCCAGATGTCTCCTCTGTTCTGGTTTGCCTTTTTATTATTAGCTGCATTTTTGGATCCCTGCCTTTGTTTACTGTTTTGCCCCATTAAAACTCCCAAGAGTTGTCCTCAGCCTCTGCCTCTGCATTTGGGTCCAAACCACAACTAAACCCTGACAATAGGAACCAACCACAATGGACCCAGCAGAGCCCAGTCTGGACACCCTGAGGGACTTTTTCCTCAACCTAGGCAATACTCTGGACTCAATATCCAACCTTACACCGCCTTGGAAGAGGGTGAGTGCAACTAGCCAACTTAAACAGATTCTCCTCTCAAACTCCACACTCATTTCTCCCCCAGTATTATATGAACTGTTTGAAGAGTTGGAGTGGAACCACCAAGCAGCCAGCGCCCAGCTCTTCAGCAGACCTCCACCACCCAAGCCATCTCTTCATCTCCTCCCTACCCTGCTGTCAATCGCCTCCGGTCCAGTTCCACCACCTTCACCAGCTGTTGGTCCCCCCATGCCGTCTGCCTCCTCCAGGCGTAAGCGCCACCGGGGGAAGAAATCCACTCCCTCTCCGGCGGGTCAGCCTGACGCCTCCACTCCCTCTCCGGCGGGTCAGCCTGACGCCTCCACTCCCTCTCCGGCGGGTCAGCCTGACGCCTCCACTCCCTCTCCGGCGGGTCAGCCTGACGCCACCACTCCCTCTCCGGCGGGTCAGCCTGACGCCACCACTCCCTCTCCGGCGGGTCAGCCTGACGCCTCCACTCCCATGGGTCAGCCAGCTGACAGCCTTAGCTCCCCTCTTAACCAGGTCAGTTTCTCCCTAAATCTCAGTCGTCACCTCCATGACCAACAGCTAGCCCCATCCTTAAAGAAACTCATTATTACACCCCCTACAGTCAGTGCTCCCCATATTGAGGAGTCTCAATTATGGACCTTCTTTTATGGGGAGAGGGAGGATCTATTCCCTTTCCTTCCACCTCCATCAGTTCCCTGTCAGCCAGCACATCCCAAGCCCTTTAGCGGGCCGGTTTCCCTAGCTCCAGAGCCCTTTAGCGGGCCGGTTTCCCTAGCTCCAGTGCCCAGTAGTGGGCCAGATTCCCTAGCTCCAGTGCCCAGTAGAGGGCCAGATTCCCTAGCTCCAGTGCCCAGTAGAGGGCCAGATTCCCTAGCTCCAGTGCCCAGTAGAGGGCCAGATTCCCTAGCTCCAGTGCCCAGTAGAGGGCCAGATTCCCTAGCTCCAGTGCCCAGTAGAGGGCCAGATTCCCTAGCTCCAGTGCCCAGTAGAGGGCCAGATTCCCTAGCTCCAGTGCCCAGTAGAGGGCCAGATTCCCTAGCTCCAGTGCCCAGTAGAGGGCCAGATTCCCTAGCTCCAGTGCCCAGTAGAGGGCCAGATCCCCTAGCTCCAGTGCCCATTAGTGGGGGGGTTTCCCCAGTACCAGAGACTCCTGAGCCCATTGGAGGTCCGTTTAGCCTAGCGCCAGAGACTCCTGAGACCATTGGAGGTCTGTTTAGCCTAGCACCAGAGACTCCTGAGCCCGTTCAGAGTCATCCTGATTTCCCTGAGCAGGCTACTGAAGGGCAGTCTGAAATAAAGCTAAGCAGGCGCTCCAAGCCTCCACGGCCCCCCAGCGGGCGCTCCAAGCCTCCACGGCCCCCCAGCGGGCGCTCCAAGCCTCCACGGCCCCCCAGCGGGCGCTCCAAGCCTCCACGGCCCCCCAGCGGGCCCCCTCTGAGGCTGTTCCTGTGCCGCTGTCGGCGGCCCCCTCTGAGGCTGTTTCTGTGCCGCTGTCGGCGGCCCCCTCTGAGGCTGTTCCTGTGCTGCAGTAGGCGTTCCCCAAGGTTCCTGCAGCTGTGTCAGAGACGGCGTCGCCGCCGGCGACCTCCAGAGACCCTCCTTCGTCAGAGACGGCGTCGCCGCCGGCGTCCTAAAGAGACCCTCCTTCAGAGACGGCGTCGCCGCCGGCCCCCTCCAGAGGCCCTCTGTCGCCGCCGGCCCCCTCCAGAGGCCCTCTGTCGCCGCCGGCCCCCTCCTGGGGTCCTCCTCCTTCAGAGACGGCGTCGCCGCCGGCCCCCTCCTGGGGCCCTCCTCCTTCAGAGACGGCGTCGCCGCCGGCCCCCTCCTGGGGCCCTCCTCCTTCAGAGACGGCGTCGCCGCCGGGCCCCTCCAGAGGCCCTCTTTCGCCGCTGGCCTCGCCGCCGGGCTCCTCCAGAGGCCCTCTTTCGCCGCTGGTCTCCTCCAGAGAGCCTCCTTCGTCAGAGACGGCGGCGCCGTCGCCGTCCTCCTGAGCTTCTGCCTCGCCTCTGGCCTCACGGCCGCCCTCCAGAGACTTTGTTTGCCCTTGCCCACCTTGGGTGGGTTGTTTCGGTTTTGTTTGGACTCTGCGTTTGGTTTTGTATTTCGTGCCCTCCTTCCTGGTTCCCCCTCCGCCCACCCAGGGGGGGTTATTTTTTGTTTCTGGACATTTTGGGCGTCTGGGATCCGCCCTTAAGTAGGGGGCACTGTCATGGTCTTGGTTCTGTTGTTCTTTTCTTTGCTCCTTGTTTTCTAGATTTATTAGCCTAATTCCAGTTTTGTTGTATTTCTAGATTTATATTCTCAAGTTTTTCTGTTGTCCTCTTTTGCCCTCTTGTGTGTGTGTGTGTATGTTCCTTTCCCCTTGGCTCCCTCGTTGTCTCCTCTCACACCTGTTCCTTGTCTGCTCGTTAGCCCTCCCTTTGTCTCTGTCTCCTATATATGCTTTCCCTCTGCTCTCACTCTTTGTTGGTTCCTTGTCTTTGCTGTCTTCCCATGCTGTGGTCTATGTTCCTCGTCTCCTCCTGGCTCCTCGTGTTTGGTTTTCCCCAGATGTCTCCTCTGTTCTGGTTTGCCTTTTTATTATTAGCTGCATTTTTGGATCCCTGCCTTTGTTTACTGTTTTGCCCCATTAAAACTCCCAAGAGTTGTCCTCAGCCTCTGCCTCTGCATTTGGGTCCAAACCACAACTAAACCCTGACAATGTGTACAAAGAAGCTGTTAAGTTAGGTGGTTTTTAACATTGTTTAAATCAGAACAACATAGTTTTATTTTCTGATCCAAACATCTAACAGTTTGGAAAAGTCTGAAAATAAGATTTTCAGGTCTGGATAAGTATTTAAAAAAGGGCTTTAAAGGATATATGTATTTCCAGAGTTTATTTCTTGTGATAAGTTCCTTTCATCTAATCTGTCAGTTTTTACATGTATATACCCTTCTGTTCAATTACTTTTGTTTGTTTTTTTAAACGTTAGTTCCCTATTGTTTTTCTTTTTGGACTAAAAAAAAAACAATAGGGAATTATGACTCTTGAAATTTTACTCTGAGAGACTAATACATTTCAACACTACAAATGTATTGTTTGACCTTTATGAATTTTCCTTTCTAAAGCCATTCATCCTCTGCTATTTTCCTCCAGATTCTAGTCCATGTGGGCTTTCTGACTGAGGAGTCTGGGGATGTTTTCAGTCCCAGGGTGCTGAAAGGAGGTCCCCTGGGTGAGATGGTGCAATGGGCTGACATTCTCACTGCTCTCCATGTTCTTGGTCACGATGTCAAGATCTCGGTTTCTCTTAAGGAATTGCACGGGTAAGCCTTATCATTACTGTCATATTGTGGAACTAATCTGTTTCAAAAGTTGGCACCCTGACTACCATCTATAAGCTAACTAACATCTTCCTCTCGCTAGAGGAGTTTAACTGAAGAACCGTACCCTGTACACTTTTTTTTTTTGGCTGCAGACTCTGTTAAATTCTTCCTCCGCAGAAAGCTGTTAAGCCTAAAGGCTTCTCTTTCGGTTCTGCACCCCCCTTCTGTTACAGCCCACTGACATCTGAGTGAAAACGGTCCTCTCACTAGTCATGACAAACACGGTAATGTTAGTGGACAATCCTGTCTGCATTTAACTCACACCAGCAGAATTGGATTTATGAAAAATACAGGTGCTGGTCATAAAATTAGAATATCATGAAAAAGTAGATTGATTTCAGTAATTCCATTTAAAAAGTGAAACTTGTATATTATATTCATACATTACATACAAACTCATATATTTCAGATGTTTATTTTGTTTAATTTTGATGATTACAAATGACAACAAATGAAAATCTCAAATTCATCATATCAGAAAATTAGAATATTACTGAAGACCAATAAAAACAAAGGATTTATAGAAATGTTGGCCAACTGAAAAGTATGAGCATGTACAGCACTCAGTATTTAGTTGGGCCTCCTTTGGCCTGTATTACTGCAGCAATGCGGCGTGGCATGGAGTCGATCAGTCTGTGGCACTGCTCAGGTGTTATGATAGCCCAGGTTGCTCTAATAGTGGCTTTTAGCTCTTCTGAATTGTTGGGTCTGGTGTATTGCATCTTCTTCTTCACAATACCCCATAGATTTTCTATGGGGTTAAGGTCAGGAGAGTTTGCTGGCCAATTAAGAACAGGGATACCATGGTCCTTCAACCAGGTAATGGTAGCTTTGGCACTGTGTGCAGGTGCCAAGTCCTGTTGGAAAATGAAATCTGCATCTCCAAAAAGTTGGTCAGCTGCAGGAAGCATGAAGTGCTCTAAAACTTCCTGGTATGTGGCTGCGTTGACCCTGGACCTCAGAAAACACAATGGACCAACACCAGCAGATGACATGGCACCCCAAACCATCACTGACTGTGGAAACTTTACACTGGACTTCAAGCAACGTTGATGAAGTGCCTCTCTTCTTTTCCTCCAGACTCTGGGACCTTGATTTCCAAAGGAAATGCAAAATTTACTTTCATCAGAGAACATGACTTTGGACCACTCACCAGCAGTCCAGTCCTGTTTCTCTTTAGACGCTTCTGACGCTGTCTGTGGTTCAAGAGTGGCTTGACACAAGGAATGCGACAGCAGAAACCCATGTCTTTCATACGTCTGTGTGTGGTGGTTCTTGAAGCACTCACTCCAGCTGCAGTCCACTCTTTGTGAATCTCCCCCACATTTTTGAAGGGGTTTTGTTTCACAATCCTCTCCAGGGTGCGGTTATCTCTCTTGCTTGTACACTTTTTTCGACCACATCTTTTCCTTCCCTTCGCCTCTCTATTAATGTGCTTGGACACTGAGCTCTGTGAACAGCCAGCCTCTTTAGCGATGACCTTTTGTGTCTTGCCCTCCTTGTGCAAGGTGTCGATGGTCGTCTTTTGGACAACTGTCAAGTCAGCAGTCTTCCCCATGATTGTGTAGCCTATAGAACTAGACTGAAAGACCATTTAAAGGCTTTTGCAGGTGGTTTGAGTTAATTAGCTGATTAGAGTGTGGCACCAGGGGCCATCAATTTTGAACCTTTTCACAATATTCTAATTTTCTGATATGACGAATTTGAGATTTTCATTTGTAATCATCAAAATTAAACAAAATAAACATCTGAAATATATGAGTTTGTATGTAATGTATGAATATAATATACAAGTTTCACTTTTTAAATGGAATTACTGAAATCAATCTACTTTTTCATGATATTCTAATTTTATGACCAGCACCTGTAGAGACTTTTTGCTGTCAAACCGAGAAGTGCAAAAGTAGTAGGGCAGACAGGTCTAGTCTTGCCTTGGAGATTTGATAAGTGATATTTCAGAGGTGCCTTGGCTTCATGCTGGCCAGTCAAGAAAATGTCTCCTCACCAGTCAAGATTCTCTTCTCCAACTGGTAATGATGTTTCCTAGTTGTTAAGCACTAAGAAACTTTGGCATTAATGAATTATTGCTGCCCTCTGATCTTAGACTTATGGCATTGAAGAAAAGGGGCTTTGATAAGCCGGTTGCAGTAAGACAAGCAAGGTTGGAATGCCTCTGCTGGTCGTGCCATTATTTACCCCTCTAATTGGTGTCGCGGGGTATTGAACCCCACTGGCCTGTCTCTGTTGGGAAAAGCAACAGATTTTTTTTTTAAACTGCTTAAGTCTGAAGGTTACTGTAGACCTCAGCCTTTTACAGGTTCTTTTCTGGGTGCGCAGGGAGAAATAGTTCAGATATTATCCTCATGTTTTAATGGAGGTGTGGCAGCATAACATTCAGGCTGATGATTTATTGTACTCAGCATCAAATGAAAGGGTCAGCCTTTCAGCAAATCTAACAGATGGCTGTAACTAATGCAAAATGCTTCACACAGGCTCTGACCACACCTGCAAATCAAAAATACAACCCTGTATACACATGCCTATTTATTTCCAGCCAGCTAATGACAGGCGCCAAACAACCATAAATCTGATTTCTACGACTATTAATGAGCAGAGGAGGAAAACATTTCTCTCCATCTCTGCTCTTGCACTCCTACACACTGTTAAATTGACAGATCGTTATGTGGGTTGTGCTCCTACGGAATCCCCTCAGGCGGGTGTCTATTTACATTTTTACCCTCCGTATTTCCACCCAAACATTGGAAAGGAGTTTAATATCACTGGACGGGCTGCTGATATATGCAGAACTATTAATAAAGGCAGGGGCTCCGTTCATTGACCCAATTGTCCATGCTGGAAATGTATTTACAGTCAGTATCAAGCTGTTGTGCTACATAAATACAGTAATTGTGCCTGATTGGCAATGTTTAGCCACTGTGGCCTATCCACTTGGAGGTCTCTGGCTGCTGTTTTCTCTTTGCTTCCCTGTAAGTATAAACCAGTTATCTATGCATCAGAAGATTCAATTTTTCATGTGCTTTGAGGTTGTTTACCAGCTCACCAATGGGGTACATGTACAGTTTTATGAGAATAATTTATTTTAAAGATAAGCTTGACAGTTTTTATAATAAGGACATATAATTCAAATAATAAAGAAATAATGTCAAGTTCACTTTGGGAACTATATATTTCCCGGCTAACACATTTCTTCTTTTTTTTTTTTACACTTAAGTATTTGTGGACATGAAACATTTTAAACTCATAATAAAATGTAGGGAAGGTAAAAAAAAAGTACATATATTTCCCTCCAGCCTCTCTTAGTCAAAAGGCGGAGTAGACCCTGGACAGGTCGCCAGTCTGTTGCAGGAATCTCATTTAGATTTAAATTAAGGTGTGTTAAGGTTTTTCTGATTGAACAGAGCTTGGGTTAGGGTCTCTGTTATTCTAAAATACTACATAACCTTTTTGAAATGACATTTTACGTTAAATTTAGTTTTAAACATGATGAAATCGATTTTTTTCCTTTTATATAACTCTTAATATATTTCTAAGATATTTTTTTGGGGGGATGGCTTGGAATACAGAGATATAGGTTTGATGTAAATGTAAAATCCATTTTAAAATCTCCTCTTGAAGCTCATATTATTCTTTTTTTCCATTCTCTATAAACAAATCTTTATGTATTTATTTCTTTGCCCTTCAACTTGTCCAATGCATCATCTCATGTTAAGACAAATCATATACAATCATAAAATAAGTATACAGTTATACAAATAAAGCAATAAGGTTAGTGAAATCTTAAGCCCTAACAGCCCTAGGCTTTAGTTATTCCATCAGAAATGTAAGTTTAATTTCTTTTCTTTATGCCACAGACTTATTATTCATATGTACTTTACAATGATGTGTAGTTTTTGATTTTTTCCTTTTGCCTTTCTATGATGATTTTACCAGTAGCACTTTGAGATTTTTCTCAAATGTAAAGTGCATTACAAAAAAATGTATTATTATTATTATTATTATTATTAGATTTAGAGAGTTAGTTTAGATTATAAAAGAACTGGACAACTTTTTTTCCATTGGCATCATTTGGATTATCCACTTTATAAACCTTTTAGACATATTTTTGCTATAAACCTCTTTACCTTAAGTCATGCAGCTGGGATAAACTAAAGCAAAGTTACAGATGTTTTAGACAAACTAAGGTATCTTGCATTTTGACATACAGTAGTTTGGCACACTTTAGCACCATGCAAAAATGTATTTCTGGTATTTGTACTTTCAAAATTTCATAAAATCATCTTACAGTTTAAAGTATATTATTGAGTATTATAAAAATAGAAATAAACAAATATCATTAGTGCTTGTAGAATCAAGTATAAGTAACATGTTCACATCAGTCACATTAATCACCAACGAGCAGTGTGGGGCAAGCTACTTAAAAAAGTAACTGATTATTGTTACTAGTTACTCAGTTGCTGCCCAATAACAGTAACTTGTTACTAGGCAACGTAAGTATGTAGTTACCTTTTATGATCAAAATGTCAAAGAATTTGGAAAACATTCCTATTATTGGAATTTTGAATAGAGTCAGAGGTTCAATTAGGGAATATAGAAGAAAAATAAGACATTTTGGCTTCTTTTTTTTTTTGCAAATGGAAAGCCTAAAAAAATATTATTTCAAGCAATTAAAAAAAAAATTCTATTAAACAAGGATTAAAATATTCCGTGGAAAAAATAAAAATAAATAAAAAACTAGCAGGTCTTTACCCTCTGAGTATTTCTTAGTGAAAAATTGTAAACCAGGAAAGTAAAATCATCCTACCCCTTAGTAAGAAAAGAACATGTGTATAATAAAAGGAGCAGTGTTAAGATGATGTGCTGATTTTTCAGCTTTGGATTTAAGTTTATAAAGTCTTTTTTTCTGCACATAATGAGCAGAT